TGGCTTGAAGCGTGGAAGATGGCGCGAGGCGCTGGATTGCTGGGATCTCAGAACCGAATGTGGTCGCGTCGACTGCTTGCGTCTGCGGTTACGCGGACGTACGGCACCTGGATCTGTGGATGACTGCTGCATGTGCTTTGTGGAGGAATGCTCCACAAAGCTGTATATCTTGTATATCTGGAGAATCGAGTGCTAACTGCGGGAGAGCGTCCACGATTGCTGAGTTCCGACTGGATTGTCGAACCTGAGAACAGCAAAGGTATTGTGGACAGTAGTTAGACATTGACTCACTAATACATGGATTCAACTTGGAGATGAAAGCACGAAAGCAGTGCTCACTTCCGAGTCCGCCTCCTCGGCCACAACTGTCTTACCTTCGAGTGTCTGTCCTCGCTGTCCTCCACTCAGCACCGCCCTACGAAGCCTACAAGTACTCGTCAACCTGCAAAAGTGCGCAAGAGAACTCGGACTGAGATTCTCTTAGGTTATGAGCCCAAGCTTGACTGAGCTTTTCAACAATGTCCGGCCAAGGCGCGGCAGTCGGAGGAGGAGGTGCCCAAGCAGGACAAGCTGTGGATCAAGCAGCACATGGAGCAGCAGACCAAGCTGCTGAAAGAAGAATATTTGGTAGCAACAAGCCACCCAAGTACGAGGAGGAGGGCGGCTTCGACTTGTACAAGGTGATGCTGCGGTCATACTTGACGCAGAGAGGTTGCTGGCGTATCGTCGACGGAACAGAGGCACGATATCCGAACGACGTAGACCTTCAACGCCAATACGACGAACGAGATGAACTCGCACGTGACGCTATTCCACGAGGCGTGCTCACCAAGGACGCATCTCAGATCTGCAACTTCGAATATGCTCACGAGATGTGGGATGCGTTTGAGCGAGACAAGACTAAGCGCGCTTTCTTAAACGCACTACTGCTGAGAAAGAAGCTCTACTCCTACTCCTTCACGTCCGACATGAGCATGAAGTCTTACCTAGACGAGTTGGAGCACATGAGGCGACAACTTCGAAACATGAACGATCCATCGCAGATGATGAAATGGTGAAGATCATACTGCAAGGAGTTGCATTCGAGTTCCGTGGTGTGGTGCGCATGTTCGACAAGGACGTTCGAGATGGCAACGCTCCAGCGTTGGAAGAGGTGCTGAACACACTTCGTAGTGAGGCTGAACTAGACAATCAACGGAAAGTAGTCGTCGCCGCCAAGAGCAAGGAACCAGCCAAGATACTACAAGTCAAGGAACAGCTAGAACCAGGCGGCAAGAAGCGCCAACAGCACCAGCAAGCAGGTGGTAAGAAGAAGTTCAAGAAGAACAAGAAGGACGGGCCCGAGACCCGTGAGTGCTTTCACTGCGGCAAGAAAGGTTATCTTAAGAAGAACTGCTTTGCCTGGCAGGCCAAGAAGAAACAGTCCGAATCAATGGCTTTCGTACGTTGGAGTGGATCGAAGAACGAGACTGCTATCGGTATGGTGAGTGTTGACCACTCCACTCTCAGTGATGAGTGGATGATCGACACAGGTGCTGGTGTGCATGTCTGTAAAGACTGGACGGCGTTCACGAGTTTGCAAGAGGAAACGATGTCTTTTGTTGGATGACAAGGTGAATCAACACGTAGTGAAGCCGTCGGTCATGTGAACGCGTGTACCAAGGATGCGAGATCGGGACGGGACGTGGTCCTCGAGCTGGAAGACACACGTTATGCTAGCATTGGTATTAGCAACCTACTCAGTCTCGAACGACTGGAACAACAAGGGTGGGTGCCTTCCTACTCGGACTCAGCGACTCCTGAGGACCGTCAGATGCATTTGGATCGCGACGGCGTACGTCTCCTCCTACACAAGCGTAGACGACACTACTGGCTCAACGTGAAGAGAGCGACTGCGGACGCTAAGATGTGCATGATGGCTGCTGCGGATCGACAGTCAGTCGTAATGAGATGGCACATGAAGTTCGCACATCTCAACGAACAAGCACTCAAGCAACTAGTGCAGAAGGGCATGGCTACAGGCTTCAACTCCTTGAAGGCTTCCGATTTCGATAAGCCTTTGAAGTGCTTCTCATGTCAAATGGCTAAGCAGAAAAGAAGGTCCTACGGACTCCATGAGAAGCGCAGTAAGGTGTGCTACGAGCGTCTGATGTCGGGCGTATTCTACGTGGGCCTTGAGACCACGGGAGGCAATCGCTACTTTCAGTTAGTGCAGGATGAAGCGTCGAGTTACAAGTGGTGCTTCCTGTTGCGCACCAAGGACGAGGCGTCTGTGAACGTGATGAACCTGATCTTGCAGCTAGAACGAGAGCACGTGATCAAGAAGTTTTACTGTGATCAAGGAAAGGAGTTTATTAACAAGTCGTTAACTAAATTTCTAGTGGAGCACGGGGTCCAGCTTCTAACAACAAACGCCTACACACCGGAGGAAAACTGCTTGGTCGAGAAGTTGAAGGGAATCTGCTCAACAAGTTCGAGCGATTCGACAGGCGAACGGACTGCAAGCGGCGTTATGGGGCGAGATACTACTGTATGTGGTGGAGGTCGATACCATGAGCCCCACCAAGGCTCTCACTGACATCACACCCTTCAAGATGATCACTGGCCAGAGGCCAGACATCGGTAACCTACGCGTGTGTGGATGTGTAGCGTTCGCTCATAACCCTAAGGAGAAGAGGTCGCACAAGTTGAGCCCCAAGGCGGTGCCGACGCTCTTTCTCGGGTACGCGATCAACTCTCTTGGATATCGACTTTTGGACCTACATAGTGGCAAGCTGATCGAGAGACGCGATGCCTCCTTCCGTGAAGACATCACTGTGGAGAGTAGTTACCTTGAGAAACTTTTGGGCATCCAGTATGAAGGTTGAGAGGTACTGCTGTCAGCCAATGTATCGTTCGTACCAATACCAATCGATGGTGTACGTGACCGTGATCGCGTACGTATTCCAAGCTCAGATGATCAGAGTGAATTGGGTGATATGGAGATGACATCGAGTGATGAAGGTCCTCAACCAGGAGGCAAGCGGCGCCGGAGTGACTCAAGCGAAGACAGCAGTTCGAGTGATGACGTTGGATTTAGTGGGAGTGACGGAGCTGCAGTGATACCATACCACCGCAACAAGCAGCGCAGCCTGTAGCTCAGGCCGAACCAGAACAGCAAGCTCCGAGACCACAACAGCAACAACAGCCAGCAAGTCTACAACAGCCAGCAGGTCAGCAACAGCCACAGCCAACTCGACGCTCTCAAAGACAGAGACGTCTGAATAGACGTTTTGACTCGAACAACTGGGTCATGATGACAAGCATCATGCAGTGTATGCTTATTGGAGTGAACGAGTTACTGAACCCGACAACGGTGCAGAAAGCACTGGCGTCGGACCATGCTGCGGAATGGTGACGAGCCATGGATATGGAATACCAGAGTTTGATGAAGAACGCAACTTGGGAACTCGTTCCACGACCAAAATCTACCAAACCGGAAAAGGTGAACATCCTCACGTCACTGTGGTCCTAGTAGTGACGAAGAACGAGAGAGGGGAACTCGAGCCGTTCAAGGCTCGTCTTGCAATTCGTGGTTTCCTACAGAAGTTCGGGATTGACTACTTGGCGACTTATTCGCCGGTAGTTCGTATTGAATCCGTTCGTCTCGTACTTCTTCTAGCACTTATGCTAGGACTGGATAGCAGACACGTCGATTTCGTTACTGCGTTCCTTAATGGAAAACTGACTGACGTGGACATCTACATGGAGCAGCCTGAAGGCTACCACGACGGGACTGATCGTGTATGCAGACTGCTAAAAGGACTCTATGGATTAAAGCAGGCGTCGAAGATCTGGAACGACACGCTGCATGCGTATCTGGTGCAATTGAAGTTCACTCAGAGTGTGTTTGATGCTGGTGTGTACTATCGCTAAGGTACACATGGTATGATCGTCTTGATGGTCTATGTGGATGATATCGTCATCGCGGCAAAACCCATGGACATTGAAGTCGTGGTACAGGAACTTGGAGCCAAGTTCGAGCTTAAGGACTTGGGGAGAGTGAAGCATCTACTGGGTATGGAGATCAACTTCATCCCAGGTGTAGTTGTGTGTCTGTCCCAGACAGCGTACGTGGAGAGGTTAGCGACCAGATTCAACATGCAGAACATGAAAGGAGTTCGGTCCCCGCAGCAGCATAATGAGCGCATGCCGGCTACGGAGACGAACGAGACCAAGATCAATAGCGACAAACTACCCCACAGAGAGCTCATCGGCTCGCTCCAGTATGTGGTAGCTTGCACCCGTCCGGATATGGCGTGTGTAGTTCGTGCTCTCGGTCGCTACAGTGGGGCGTACACCAAGGACAACTACAAGATGGCGAAAGAGCTGTCAGGTACATGCTTAACACAAAGCACATGGGACTGGTCTATCGACCAGTGAAAGGACTGCTGACTCTTGATGCGTTTTCAGACGCAGACCACGCTATGTGTCGTGACACTAGCCGCTCGAATACGGGATTTGTATTGCAACTACAAGGTCTTACGTGGATGTGGAGGAGTAAACAGCAGGGACGTGTCACGAAGAACACGTGCGCATCGGAACTGGTGGCAGCCAGTACATGCGTGGACGATCTGGTGTGAGCAATACAACTTCTAAGTGAACTAGTTGGCGAGCAAGTAGTGTCGACTGTCTACTGCGATAACCAGAGCACCATACAGGTCATTGCCAATCGTGGCAACAGCAAACGAGTGCAGCGCTACGCCAAGGAGGCAAGAATGATTGCTGCGTTTGTGAATGACGGAGTGGTGGACGTGAAGTATATATCGACCACGGTGAATGTGGCCGACATCCTCACGAAAGCTCTAGGCCCTCAACGTTTCGAGTATCTCCGCCGAAAGCTGAGCATGGAGAACGTGCAGAGTGTACTGACGAGCGTGCAACAGGAGCTGGAGAAGGTTGACTAGGTGTGAGCTTGCGGGCTCACATGCGAAGGGGTGAACGCCAAGTGTGTCGTGGAGCGGAAGGCTTGTGTTTAACACAAGGATGGCATCGTACACACGGGGTTCAAGTCATCGTAAACATCGGAGAAGACCGGTGGCATCGTAAACTTGGCGACATGACATCGTAAACATCACAAGGATGCGAGTGCATCAAAGGGTCATTGGCATGATGACAGGACGAGGAAGTGCATGACTGTATGTGCA